GGTCAAAGGGCCAAAGTTCTTGGTATCCAATAACAGGTCTTCTCACAAGGATTACATACTAGTATGTGAAGTAGCCCTAGCCCTAATTGTTCAAAGATTATGGCGAAGGTTAAAGTTTTTTCATAAGTACGTTAATCTCCAAGGTCTAGGTCAAACTTGTTGGTATCCGATGAAAGACCTTGCCATAAAGAATACATATGTGAAATATGAAAGCTCTAGTCCTTACCGTTCAAAAGTTATGGCTAAAGTAAAAGTTAAAAATTTTAGTGTAAAAGTGGGTCAAACTCCAAGGTCAAGGTCAAAAGGTCAAATTTGGTGGTACCCAGAGAAAGGTCTTGTCACAAAAAATACACTTGTGAAATATAAAAGCCATAGCTCCTCTCAACCAAAAGTTATGGGCAAGGTTAAAGTTTTTTGACGGACGGACAGACTGAAGGACAGACGAATGAGATTTGATGTCCCCTCGCTTTCGCGAAAGCGGGGGACAAAAAATAAAGTAAAAAACTAAAACTACGTGTTCACGATATTCATATAGAGCTATAGTTATATTTTGATTCTTTAAAAAAGAATGTGTAGCTCTGGGACAGAACCCCTCTCCACATAACTACGTTTGGTAACTTTTATGTTATTATATACCTATGGCACATTCATATTTACACTCGGTAATATACTTTTTTTTTTTATAAATATATACATGTACACTGTAAGTTAAAACAGTTTGGATAATAAATCTGCTTAAAAGTAATTCCGTAAAATAACATGTATGTTAAATAATACATGTATATATTAAAATGTAACATGATCTAAACATTCATAAATTTCACAACTTCTGTTCGCTGTCCACCCTAGTTATTTCTCGCCATAGTAACAAGAACTGTTGCCTTGACTATAGATTATCGCGCCAAAGTAAAATTATTCCCAAAATTATTTTGGCGTATTGGTGTAAAGTTTTATTCTTTTTATCCGTCTCGACATAAATGAGCTACTTCGGTTTTAAAACGATGTGTAATTTCCGCAATTTTAATTTTTTTTGCTGTCTCATGTTCTATTTAAAAAGTCCTTTTTCACCACAAAAAAGTGCTGCAAAAGTGGAAAACCGTTGTTTACTTTGATCCGTTATCACGGACAAAGAAAACATTTTACATTGTTAAATCAGAAATCTGTTTCATTGTTAAAATTGGAATGAAATGTCTATCTGTGATTTAGTTGAGAAAGCAGGTGAAAATGAACCCCCTCAAAGCTTTTCTTTATCCCTTTTAAGCCCCCACGGACCGTCAACTTATGAAAATATGACAGTCTTTACCCCGGCGAGGCACCCGATTGTACGCGTCGTATTCTTTTTGAATCGTCGTCTGCGACAGGTGTGCTAACCTATAATCGACTCTGAACAATGCCATTCGATGTTTCATTATATACAAAAGTGCATTCTTTTACAGACTTATTCATATATTTAGTTTACTTTTAAAGCTGTGCGTAAAATTAAAGAGACAAGGTGGATAGAAGAGCCATAACTCGTGCATAAATTTTAACAAAGGAGGAAAAAAAATATTAGTATGCATATAGGCAATAAAAAAGTGAATAATGACAACAGAACTGGAACATAATTTCTTTAGAAAAAAATTATACCCAACAAGTTACAATAACATAAAATCATCCCCATGGAAAAATTTCTGATTTGAATATATTTATAAAAAATTTCTGATTTGAATATATTTATGAAAATACACGGAGAAAGTTCTGCTACATACAGTTAAAATTCTCAGGTCCGTGTTCGCCTTACTACCGATTTGTATCGTATAAGCAGATTTTTTACCGAGGATTTAATTTTGGCATGATAAACAGCAAAAAAAGGTAATCCCAAATATCAAGGCCTAAAATTAAATCTATCTTTGCTAAAAATTAATGTGTGTGCTTTATTTGTAATAGCTTCTAAAGTGAGCTTTTTAAAATCGCTAAAATTACATTTCGCTAAAAATGAAATACAAATTTTTAAGGACAAATCGCTTAATTTGTCTCGCTAAAATTTCCACTTATACGGTATATAGAGTCGAAATATGAATGGGAGTGACATGATTAATACGTCATCGATGCACATCTATACTTATAAATTATTAATTAATAAGTTTTGCAAATAAACTCCGAAAATTTTGCACCAGAGTTCTTACTTACTCCTCTAATCATACACTACATGCAAGATGATGTCCGTAAACTATATTTAGATTTCATTCGGATAGTAAGTAACGTACAAAAGATTGAAAGTCTACTTCAATTTTCTAATAAACATGATAAAACCCATCAACTTGTTTGCATTTGATTAAGTCCGGTTGGCAAATACAATTAAGAGAGGCAAATTAAAATGAAATACAACAAACAATCGATTATTTTTTTCATAAAATGTCATCACTGAGTTATTTAATCAAAACTTGATTTGAATGATATAAAAGAAATAAGTTGTGATAACCGATTAAAAAGTGCTAATTATTTTCGTCAAACACCGATCTCAATATTGACGGAAGACCACGCAAAGTGTTTTCTTCTTCTCATATATAAGTTTTTGAATAAATTCTGCTTCAATGAAAACAAAAAATTAGTTGCAAATAGCTTTCCAAATTCAATTTGTATCAATTGGGAATTTCAATAGTTAGATCAATGTAGAGGAAATAAAGACCTGACCTCCAAAAGCTTCATAGATAATAATATTGTCAACGTAGTATATTTCTTCCTTTTTAATACCCAATAGAGAGATAGAACAACAGTAACATATAATAAAGCAAATTATTTTTCTTTGCTAAATTAGTGTGTAGTGGTGGGGGTTATAAAGTTTATAAACAAAAAAAGGTTAACCAAATTTTTCATTTCAGTATATTATGTCTATCTTTGCTATAAAAAAAGCTTTGGATTCAAGATACTCATGAGTAAATTCTTAATAGATTAGCATGCGTTTCAATTTTCCTGACACCTACGTGTTACAAAATAATCGTGCTGTTAATGACCAATGACAAGGTTAGTAAATTTACGAGTTACATTTTTATTTAGAAAAAAAAATGCCTATGATGTCAAAAAGCCAAATGGCGTAATGGTAATAGTTCAATAAAGTGATGAAAATTGGTACGTTTTGCGATTTCAACTTGTGACGTTTCTAAAAGTTCATTGGAGTATTTTTACACTAACGGATTTTAATAACGTTGGGCATAATGACACGATCATTGTGCGGTAGATATAACGAGTTATTTTTCTTTACTCGTTAATTGTAGTGTCTTGTTTATAAAGTCCAAAAGTAACTGAAATTTTTGAAAAGATGCTGAATTTCCCAATGGTCAAAATATACTTATGTAGTCTTTGGATACCGGTTCTTCTAACAAATTGAAATTTCATGGGTACTAATCGTGCTCCTTCATTAGCTAACCTGCTTTTTATTTTTGTGAAGCTAAACTTAGACATATATCAGAAAACGTGTTAAGATCTTCAACTAGGCATTCAGATATATTGACGCCTTTTTATCAAATACCCTGTAGTTACTTCCATCCACAACAGACGAACTTGAAATAAAAGACACTACAAAGTGTATCACACCTGTTTTATATTTAGATGATTTAATTGCCGACATTATTTTATATTTCTGACAACAACTAAATATATTCTATATACATATCAGAATACTTGCTTTTGATCGACAACTTTGGTATTCATATATATATTCACGTTTTATAGATTAACAATACCTACATGTATTTACTTCTAGAGCATGCTCTAATATGCCAAGGCAGGCTATTGACATATAAATTGATGATATAGGATTCCAATAATCTCATTAAAAGTCAGCATATTTTGTAATTCTGTGGTTGTTGTGAAGACCTTATTAGCAAAATATAATTGATCAATGGGTCGTCTTTAATTAATTGTAGGACCTTTGTTTTAACCAGGCAATATTCCGTATACCTGATCAATTCTAAAGGCTCACGGCGGGTGTGACAAGAGATGGTTATTCCTCTTAGGCACCAAAACTCACCTCGAGAATTCCGCGTTGTGTACGTCCAGTTCGTTTTTTTTGTGTGTGTGATTTTTTTAAAGATTGAATATTGTTTGCTATCTTTACCATTTACATTTACAGTATTCAATTACCTTCTAAGACAGTGACTATAGAGGGTTAATTATGAAAATCCAGACGTGTATTGCCAAATAAAAAAAATATTTGTTGATGAAATTTAATGAATTTCTGCATTTCAAATGTATCAGGTTTAAGCATTTTTAAAAAGAAAGTTTAGGCACAATAAAAATCTAAAGAATGAAATACAGTATATTTCACATTAAGTATCACTTGGGGTAAAAAAAAAAAAACTTCAGCATCTGTCCTCTCAAGCTTCTCTGATTTTCCATATACATATGGTCATATCAAATTTCGACAAACATTTGGACTGAACACAATTTTTTCTTTCTTTCTTGTTTTATTAGATTTGAAATGTAAATATAATACTTTAAGTTCAAAAGTAGATATGATAATTTTTAAATTGTGAAATTACACCTCTGGATTTTTTAAAAACAGATTTACCCTCCAAAAGTTACACATCATTCACTGATGAGAATTAATGCTACATAAGGAAATGTTAAATGATTTAGGCATAATTGTTGAATTTCAAACTGAAGTCATATTTGACTTGTATATATTTTTAAGCCATTATTTACACATTGAATTGTTGACAGATTTTTCTGTTATTTCCCATTTGTGACAAGGAGCATACAGCTGGTGTGACTGGTCAGCAGCAGGGGATGACCTCTCCTCCATGGCACCTGATCCCACCACTGATGTCTTAGAGGTCCGTGTTTTCTCTGCTCTTGATTTGTATTGTTTGAATGGAGTTTTGAGAATGAAACACAAAACCTTTAAACTGCTTATCAACAGAATGGCTAAAAATAGCCTTTGGTTAATCTTTCTAATAAAAAAGCCTTGTAAAAGGCACCAAAATCAATCCCCACTTACTAAAAACAGAAACCACTGGATATATTGTAAACAATGACATTTTATTAACCAGATGAAGAGTATTACAATATAACAACAAGGTACCTGGTGACAGCTAGATCAGGAACTACACAAGCTGTACAACTTAAAACACTGCTTGGCCTCTCAAGTAGGTTTTTCTATGTTTAACGTGATTTGCACATGTAACAACTAAATCATAACAAGTCAAAGAAAAAATAAAACTTTTCTTTTAAATAAACTGATGAAAAGTTTTGGACATAAACTGACAATGAGAATGAAAACTTTTAAAGCAAAATGAAATGGAATTTTGGCATACATTTTGAAAAACATAACGCAAAACTGAATGAAAGTATACTTATATACCATCAAGCCAAGTTTGATTAAGAATGCAGTAGCAATTATATCAACATTCAAATTCCTCATAATGCATTCAAAAAATGACCAAAAGAAATACATTTAAAAAAAAGCCTAATACTCCTAAAGGAAACATGTCCAGTGGCTCTACTGCCCATAAAATAGTTACAACACAGAATTGTATGGTACATCTAAACATTATACTTAAAAAAACAGTATTAAACTACTGTGATAATGTTTCCTCAATGTAAAGGTACATACACATCATAAAAACTCATGAAATGTCTTAAATAAAAATAAATACGTAAAAAAAAAATGTGTTCATATCCAACACTGTAATATACAGTGACACAAGACATGTAAACAGCATTTCAAGATTTCCCAAGAAAGCAATTCAAGTGAGAAATTTGTAAAAATCATATAAATATGGTAGGTAAAAAGTAGATTTACAACATTTCTCATTCACTGAATGATCGCTCACAACATTCATATCTCATTCATTGAATGATTGAACCACTTAGTTTGCATCTATCTTGTATATAATTCACATCTGGCAGTTAAACCATTTCTTAATGCAAATTTCACAACTTTACATTGTAATCCTTCAATATACATGTACTAGTATTTGTTTAACAATGGTTAATTAAAATACATGATACAACATCTAATAGTTAAACTTCATTACCATAGGAGCTAGAATTAAGGTTTGGAGATATATACATTTTTTGATTCTTTTGTTAGAAATCTCAAAGTGTGCAGTGACTTGGAAGAAAAGCCCAGATGCTGATACATGTACATTCATACTTTTGGGGTTACCCATATTTTTGTTGTGAAACTAGCACTATACTAAATAGTATGCTTGTCAAAAAAATCTAACCTAGCTTTGCAATATTTCTCAATAATGAAGTCCTTGGATTCACAACCTTTACAATGCTTTAGATGCAGTAGTTAGTACCATATACTAGTACATGTACATAAAACACAAATTACTGCAATAGTAATGACAATACACACACTATGATCACATGCACTGTTCTTCCACCCTACTCAGCACCATTTATACAGCCTTCACAATTAAAACATCCATTTGACAGTCACAATAACATCCTATATACACTAGGAACGCTGATCAATGATTCCTCTTGGCTTGCGACACTTGTATGAAACTGAATCCTGACAGTACACCCTAATGATCACCGCCTGTTTTACCATGACTGGACACTTTCTATCAGTGTTGCAGTTCCCTACATGTACTGCTGATCCACGTTAATACTGAGTTAAGGAACACAGGTTGTGATAAAGTAATCTCAGATGAACAGGAGACATGAGGGACGACTGGAGCTCTACTGCCCGGGTTATTATTTCCTGGGGCACGATTTCCCATCACACCTCATCTGGTAGGATGGTGATCATTAGCCTCCTCTCTGGCCAGCTGTACGTCTTGGGGCACATGATCTGAAGTAGACAAGCAATGCAATGAAGACACTGATATATAATTCATGCAGACACAAAACACATGAACAACTTGCACTGCTGAAGTAAAAATTTATTTTGTTTCAATTTCTATTCTTTAAATCAATTACATATCCATAAAAGTCAAACTGACTAAATTGCTTTAATGAGATTTTCTTTGAAGAAATATCTCATTCAATGAAATTGAACTTCATGAATGCTACTTAACAATACATACTCAAAACACACAGCTCTACTTCATTGTTTCTAAATAATCCTAATCAAAGACATTTATGGACTATTACCTCATCAGGATGTGCCAATTCCTCTGTGTCTACTATCATCTCCTCAATGAAATCATCAGTCAGAAGCACCTAGGAAAAGAGCCAAAGGGAGGTAAGTCAAAACAGTTCTACTGACATAAACAATGTTGTCCTAAATTTTAACATTGTCATAATCCAATATGATTCATACAAGTCAAATGCATTTAAAACACTTATGAAAATGTCCCAAATGATGACATTTTCATTGTTCAAAAAGTTCAGCATACTGAAAATTTTTTTTTTAAATTCTGTTATTAATAAGACAATATTTACATAAAAATAATTGAAAAGAAATTATCAGCCCTTAGAGCATATTAAACTTTCATTGTTTACCTGTAACCAAGGACCATGGGCTGCAAAAGGGTGATTCTCGTCCGCTATGGACCCATTCACACTGGTAGAGACAACAGTAATAGCCGTGTCATTCAGCGCACTCATAAATGTAAAGTGTCGCCCGTGACGAAGCCTCCCTTTGAGGGCCAGAGGCAGCAGAGATCCAGCTTCTAAGTTGAATTTCAAATGAACGAAGTCGAGAGTTCGTGTCCTGAGTAAATCTGTTGGTCCATCACTGCTTCCTATACTGTCAAAGGACTGCTTCCTTCTAGAGCTGAGGAGAAAAGTTTAAAAATAAAGTATTGTATTCTCAACTGTAAATATTAACTAGAATATACTAACACTAATTAACAGTGACTGGATAAAGAAAATTTGTAAAAGAACTTATTCAGAAACTTTTCTTAGAATTAAATTATTTTTACTTACTTATCATATTCAAATTCCCGAGAATCTCGTCGTGGAAACTGCAAACCCTTCTGAAGTGTTGCTTTAATTTGTTCTGATTCTGTAAAACAATTATAATGATATAAAATATTTTTTTATCTTTCTATTTTATTTTATTTTCTTTATAAAAGCAATATCTGTCATTTAACTAATGACTCTGATGATACATAAAAAGTTTTCAGATCATCTTACCAAAATCGGAGATTCTGGGCCTGTCGTTTTCGTTGCTACTCCTGCGCTCATCCAGAGTCCTGTTGTCCTTCATATCATCGTTATAATAATCGTCGCTGTTCTCACCAGGTTCCTCCCAGGAACAACGACTGTTGACCCCGCTCAGATTGGATCCTTCTGTTTCAATGCCCTGTTCAACCTGATCCTGAAATATAGATTCCACATATAATTAAAAAATGTGATTATTTTTATCCAATATTTTATTCTTATAAGATTATTTTCATAAAATCATATATTTTGGTTATATTGAAAGCCAATTTTTATTCATTACCTATCTTGTTTCCTTACATTTCTCATTTACTCAGAAAGAAAATCATTTATGACATTACCTGTAGATGTGGTTCCATTTCAAAAATAGTCTCCCCCCTCCTCATGTCTGTAATGAGCCAGGGGCCCCCAGCACAGCTCTGAGACCTGATTAACTCGATGACCCCGGGGCCATTCCAATGCTGGGCTGCCTTCAGTTCCTCCTCGCACACGCCGATAATCTGGACAAAGTTGACGATGCCAAATGGTGTGGTGATAGGTAGAAGCTGGGCGTCCTCCGCCATCAGCATGTGCTGGATCCGCGACTCACTGCCGTCCAGAGACATGTGCCAGGGAACGTGGTCCCCACTGTACAGGATATTTTCTGTGTCAAGGGAGAACAGAATTCAATCATATGCAAAAATAAAATTTACTCAGCAAGGATTTAACCAATCGCTTCTTATCTTCAACTTACAAACATACAATCAATGTTGATTTTCAATGTCAGTGCGACTTTAAGTTTACAAAATTATGTATTAACTCAGAAAAAAGAGACCTTTTTGACTGCCAGTAAAAAACTGATGAAAACCTTCAGATTTCAAGGACTTGCATAATATGAAAAAAATAAATCATCCAACTACTGGTATATGGATCCATTTTGGGTGGGAGGGATATTTACCTGTTTGGAAAACATATCTGGCCAGGGCCTGCATGAGGGTAGCAGGCCAGGTAGGGGGATTGGTCTCCCCACTGTCCCTCTTCAATCTAAAAGTCAATTCAAATCCATATCCACTTGGACCTTCGTTTGTATTGCACCTGAAGTTATGGCTAAAATAGCAAATAAACCAAAGTTAATCCACATTGTGTTATTTTAAGGCTAAGTGTATCATTGAATAATTATGTCAAAGTTAAATGTACCTGTACAAACACATGTAACACAACTATTACTCCATTACAATTTTTTTTTTACTTAAATTGATAATCACAGCCTTGTAAGTTCAGTATCATATTGATCACGAACAATATAAAAACATACACTGTACTTACTCATGGACGCGTCCATCACCATGGAGATCTGAAAGACCGTAGCTAATGTAGTGCCAGTGGGGAGGAATCCCTCGGTTCTCGTCCCCGGGGTTGGCGTACATTGAAATGTAATCAAGGGGGTCCGGTCCACCCAACCTATAAATACAAACAATCAAATTAGTCATACTTGGAACATTGGCTACTTCATAGGACATCTTAATGTTAATATTTTTTGGTAAGAAAATAATAAAAATATCATCCTATTCTTGTAGAACAGACAATTATACTTTATTTTCTACTTTAAAATGTTTATAATCAAATTTTACCATCCTTTGCTTATCTAAAAAAAGAGAAATTATTGACCTTTTGCTTAAGATCAAAATCATCCAGCCTTTCCTAATCTAAGAGACTGAATAATTATAATTTTCAAAATCCTTTGCTATTCTAATCGAAAAGATATCAACACCTTGTGCTTTTAATGGTAGGAATACATCTTTTGTATATAATTCTTAATTAAGGTACAGTTTATATATCTTTTGCTATCCTAATTTAATGTACAAATTAAAAAATATTGTTTTTCCAAAACGAAAAAACTTCAATATACTTTTCTTTCCAAGCAAATGGTCCAAGAAATGACCAAATATCTGTATTATTATTAAAATATTGAAGAACATTTGAGCTTGTCATTTGAAACTCTTGAAATTTTGAGGCACATGTAAAGAACAAAGTACGTTATTGGTTGATTTTCGCCGAACCTTTAACTAAATTGAGGTTTATCGCACTCAAAAGTTGAGAACTTTATCTTTCTAACAATATATAACTTGTTTATATCTAATAACGTGTTAACACATCGCAAATGATGATTAAAAGTGGTGTTTAAGCGGTTGTAACGTCAGTTCCGACGTTCATTTTGCTAGACGACGTCAATAACGTACATGTCTCTCTTGCGTCATACAAAGCTCCTCTATGTATTAAAACGACGTGCGATTGTCTGTAAAATAGAAATCAAAGATATTTTAAGAATTTATTTGCAATTAAGTTTACATTTTATCATTTGTGCCATGGCAGAGGTTGGGGTAGGAATGACAGTATTTTACATAAATATATAATGTATAGCAAATCATCCGACTGCCTGCATAGGACACAAAACAACTACCCATGATTTTAATTCTTTCCAGGAGTTCGAGCCACCTCAAATATCTTATTAAATACACCGTTACATACCTACATGTGAATATCCATATCAGATGCGTGATTTTACTAATGAATTATTTTGTAAGAATTTTAAAACATATATAAACTGTCAAATTTAAAAAAGATCCGTATTAGACTCTCACATTAATTCTGTTAAGATTCTTACTATAGGCGAATCATTGGTGCAGTTATACTTGCACTGAAAATCTGTAATCATGTAAAATATGGATTAAAATATTACATGCGGTAAACATGAAGATTTCTACTGAACAGACAGAGATGACAATCTTGCTAATAAAACTGTGATCAACTCTCACGCTGCATACAAAAATCGCTAGCCGAATTTCTTGCAAATAAAATCTGCAAACTGCAGTATAAATATAACTTCATTCTGAAATACATCTTATGAAAAATGAAAAAAAAGTTTGCGAAAAAATGAAGATATTATAAGGTTTGTTACACTGTACCCCCATCCCCTTTCTAGAAAGCAATACGAATTAGCTGGTTAAAAGTTCTTTAGAAGTCTGCAAAATGGTACGTTGTTGTAAAAAAAAAATCATAATCTACAGGAAACATTTTTATTAGTGTCTGAAAAAAGATAATTTACCAAATAAAATGAAATTTAAAAAATATATATCAATCCTCTTTCAAGCCATATTATGTTTGTTACCCCCTCCCCTAAAGCGATACTTATGCGAATTTATCTGGCTTTAAATTGTGCTTTTGTAAAAAAAGAAAATTATGATTCAGGGATACATGCTTATTTATTTTTGTCTGAAAAGGGATATTTTAGGAAGTAAATTTGTAATCAGTGTTGTGGTTAAACCTGGAAGATGAGTTTGCTGGATGTCTGTTGATTGATTAAATACATTTGATGTGGTCAGAACTAAATAATTTGAAAGGTGTGTTAAACACACGCCCCCCCCCCCCCCCCCCCCCCGTCTCTCCGGCTGTGACCCTATATTTTTTTAGACAGGTGTGAACTATGAACTGACCATAAGAATGTTTCAAATCACAGGAGAAATTCTTCCTGCGTAATGCGTAAACAGACTTAATTGTGACTTTGGCGATGTAATTAAAACGAAGTATGAGAATAAATACAAGTTATTTTTTTTTTACAGATAATGTATTAAGGGTTTGCATCTCTCTCTATCCCCCCCCCCCCCTCTCTCTCTGTCTCTGACGACATTGTATTTACAGACTTTACAAGAATAGAATAACATAATAAAATAAAGAAAAACTTCTAAAGATAATTACTTAATACACTGAAAGGATTATTGAAAACTTAAATAATTGTCTGTGAAAAGAATGTTTTTTTTTTGTTACGAGAAAGCGCGCGGAAATTATTGTATTAATTTCGTGTGTCCGCTGCTGATTTTTGTATTTATTTTGTTTACTGATATTTCTCTTCTGAAGCAAACGTTTAAGCGATATAGCTACAATTAAAAAAAAAAACAATTTACATATCTAATTACTAGGAATAAAAATGATGCAGGAATAGTCATATTTATTTCTATAGATCAATCAATTAATAATAATTTATATATGTGCATAGCGTTATATGTATAGAACAAGTATATACCCGGTATATTTTAAACTCTTTTAATTATGTTACAACTTTATTTTAAAGTAAAAAAATATTTCATTTATTTTTTTTCCTTTTTAAAATGAAGGTTCAGCATACGTAAAAATTAAGTACGGAAATATTTACGAGTTCTATATATATTAATACATATCTATACATAATGCCAAAGACATTGGTGGGATGATGTTTTTTCTTCCTTTCATTTTTTTTTTCATTTTTCTTCCATCACCGCTGTAGTGTAAAATGTTTAAATTGAAACGGAGAAATTAATTTGTTAATAGCTGAAATATAATTATATACGTGCATTAAGTACTTCAGAAGTCATTTAAAATGAATAAATTTTTAGCAGCCAATCAAGAATTAAAGCTAGCAGGCTCCGCCCACTTCATTTGCATACCGTTTCTCAAAGCATACCGTTCACAAAATGAACCGTTCCGTGCAAGAAACGAAACGTACCGTCCACAAAGCGTACCGTTCCGTGCACAAAGTGAACCGTTCCGTGCACAAAGCGTACCGTTCCGTGCACAAAGCGAACCGTTTCGTGCACAAAGCGTACCGCACCGTTCTCAAAACGAACCGTTCCGTTCACAAAGCGTACCGTTTCGTGCACAAAGCGTACCGAACCGTACCGTTCAAGTGGTGTAGTAGCACGGTTTAGGGTGTGTGCTAATCTCTTGATTAGACATAAAAGCACTTTATGTTTCAAACCTAAGTTTCTTTTAAAAACTAATAACAAGCCTTGTCGAATATTCTTATATTTTGTTGTTGATTTGTTTTTTCACAATCAAGCTGTGATAATAAAAAAAATCATCAAGGTACATGTACATGTAATTCTATTTCATAGAAAAGCTTTATTACATGTACTTTTTAATTTTTTTTCAAAAACAAATTAATACTATGCACACGATGCTGGAAAGTCAATCTTGCACACACGTAAATTATTTGCATGAAATAAAACTTTCAGGCAATTAATGGAACACAGTATACTAGTATTGTTAGCAGGCCCTTGGTACAGCCCCCCCTTCTTTTTTTTTTCCGAGACTAGCTATTGATTTACAAGGTAGTATGGATTTTTATATCCAAAACCCATTCCTCATGACCTTCCTTATTGGTTGCATTACGATCACCCCCCCCCCCATCCAACGTTTAACACGCAAGTGAAATCTGTCTTATTGAAAAATGGCAGCTGTATTACACAGGCAGCGCACTGCACAATGCTCAAATGTTTCGAACCTGAGGACACTCCTTTAGAAACGCATGATAAATAAATATCTACATAATATAAAAACACTGGTTTCGTGTCTATTCCTTTTTTAACCTTCGAAATAAAAAATGGACACAAAACCCAACTTTTGCGACTGTACATGGTTTTTACGGTATTCGGTATATTTAAAGGGCAGAAGCAATTTTTTCCTAGATATTAGAAAAATAAAGCCCGGTGGAAACTATGGGAAATGAATTGTTGTCAAACTGACACTGTCACTGTGCTTTTCTATTTGTGTGCAAAGACGAAAAATAATCTTAGAAATGGGGATATTAAATCCTTAGAGAGCTTTAGTTACTCGAATACTGCTTACGTGTACGTGTAAAAACTTTATGCGTTTATTTAATACTTAATCATATCTTAAAAATTAAGATATTTTATATATCTTTTTAAAATTCAAATGATGAATCAAAGAATTTAATTCTGGTAATTAGGGCATTTCCCACAGACACTTGCTTCGTATATAGAACATCCCCTCCTTTCTCTTTCCACGAGTTACCTAGATCAGTTTCAGACACCCTCCGCTTCAATAAGGTCGAATTTTTTTATCAATCATTGTCAGAATTTTTTCTTCTTTTGTAATAAATCGTTTCAAACTTCCGTTGTCGAGTCTTTTTCTTGTAAACTATCCATGTACAGCCACTAGCATCGTTTTTGGAATATGGGGGGGGGGGGGAGCCAGAGAAAAAAAAATTACTTACCTGAAAAAATTTACCAAAAGAAAAAAGAAAAAAAAATTAAAGTTGCCCAAAGCCGAAAATCCTACTTCCGGGGTGGAATGGGGGGGGGGGGTAGGGGGTGTATAAGCCAATTTTTTCAATGCAGATTTCCTTCAGTACCAATTTCTTTTACCTACAATACTACATTTTCCTTATATCACCCCCCCCCCGCCCGTTGCTACGTGCCTGATGTATTCCTCAAATATTTACCTCAAGGAATAGCCTAGAGGAAATCTCATTTTGTGGGAAAGGGGGTGGTTTTGACAAGGGACTTTCCGTATTCAATTTTCCTCAGATTCATGACTTTTTTACCTTGTTACAAGGAATCCGTATTTCACAAGGGGGTGGGGTGTTTTCCAATGTGATTTTTTTATTTTTTGGAAAGATACTTTAT